AGAAAGTCTCGTTGAAAGCTTCGTTCGTAACAAGAAAAGAAGGAGTTTATTGGTTGGTGTGAAACTTACAAAATTATAAGATATATTGTTGTCGATTTCAGCTAACTAGTACAGAGTCCCGTGCGATGTACGGGGTGCACAATTTTAAGGCCATTTATCTATTCAAGTATGCAAGATTAAATAAATAAAGAAAAATGTACGGATATATATAGTAAGTGACCTGTGCGAGGCACGAGATATATTTATTTGGAGAATATTATATTATAAAATACAATATTCAATAAAAGTTTTACAAGACACAAGAAAATTGTACAATAAAATAGTATTCGAGAAATGAACAATCATATATTATTAAAAACCTCCTTGTACACAACATTATGAGTTTGATTATTGGGCAACTCGTCATCCTCACAAACTAATATCTTCAACCCCCTTCTATTAGTTACATGCGAAACAACAACATATAATTGACCATGACTAAAGACAGATTTCTTTAGAAAAAGACCAACGTGGGATAAAGACTGTCCCTGACTCTTGTTTATGGTCCATGTTTTGCAACAACATGACTGGAGTTACAATCTTTAACGAATTATAATTTTAACAGATAAAAAAAAATCGATTAAGATTTAACAATCACATGTTTTAAAAAATGGATTAAGATTTAAAAATAGATTAAAATACAATCATACACATAATGTAGAATCAGTTAATACAAATTATAAATTAAACAAATAAAATTAAAAAAAACGATTAATTAATTAACAATCATACGTTTATAAAAATCGATTAAGATTTAAAAAATGATTAAAATACAATCATACACGTAATGGAGAATCGGTTAAGCCAAATTATAAATTTAACAAATAAAATTAAAAACAATCGATTAAGATTTAACAATCATACGTATAAAAAATCGATTAAGATTTAAAAATCGATTAAAAAACAATCATACACGTAATGTTTAAGTCAAATTATAAATTTAACAAATTGTATTTAAAAAAATTGAAACTATACGTTTCATAGTTCGAAATTAAAAAAAAAAGTTCAAATAAATTGGCTTACAGTTTTATCATATAGAACTAACTCAAGATAAGATTTATATGTGATGTCCAAGCCTATTAACTTGTTTGATTAAGCCAAAACTTTGATTCATTATTTTGAACTAAAGACTGACTGAGATATTTTTTGTTCGCAGAAAGTTGACAGTGGTGATGACGATG